CTGAAAACGGGACATCTATTTAAAATTTTGAGCTGAAAATGGACCCCCCCCCCCCCCCCCATTTATAAAACTGGACAAACTGCACAATTTTTTGGAATACCTAATAAACCTGTGATCCCTCGTGTTGTGGCGACCCTTTAATACAATTCCCTTGTGTTGTGGGGACCCTTTAATACAGTTCTCTTATGTTGTGGTAACCCTATAATACAGTTCCTTCATGTGGTGGCGACATTTAACAGTTCTCTAGTGTTGTGGCAGCTCCCAGATAATTAGTCTCCTACATAACTTCAATGAATATGTTTTCCTATGGTTTTAGGCCCTGTTTTAAAACAATGAAAACTGCAGTCGCTTTAAAAGTGACTTGATTTATAACACATCTAATGGGTGGGTCTGTTACTGAGTATTTACATTACATGTTTGTTTTCTAGATTATCCTTTTTTTTTTTTTTGCTACACCTGTGATTTACAATTTGTTAATAAAGTACATGTCAAAAACAGTCTTTAATGCTTGTATATACCACTTTTAATGGTAATCTTAACTTCAGCGCAAATGGGTCACTACCCCCCCCCCCCCCCTCCCATAGATGCTCTGCTCCTGTGCCAACAAGAAAAAAAATGTTCATAACAGTCCCTTGTGCAAAGATAGGCTGCTATCTCAGCATTTGCACTAGCATACACGCTCATTAAAAGCATACGGTAGCCATCAGAAGTGCTAACACAAACAGTCCGACATTAGAAATGTTCATCATCAAAGGTAGCAGAGGTTACCAACAGATCAGCAGTTGCACACGCGATCGATTTTAATCACATAATGGCGCCACCAATACTGTGACGACAGGCCACCTGCCATTTTCGGAATCTACAATTCCCAACATCAAGTTGTTGAAAAACAGTCTAAAAACACTCCAAATGAAATCTGCAGCTCACAGTGTCGCGCTATGCACTCAACTCAGTAGCTGGGCGACCAAACCATATCCTTTCAGTCTACTAATGGAGCAAAAATGCAACAGCCATTGTCTGGCACTTTTGGGGCAAGCAAAGCCTGAGGATTTCAGGTCATATATCTAGAGCAGTCACTAGCAATCGTAGTTAGGATGTTGTTTTATTTTTAGATGCCAAAAAATACCATGGATAACAGACATGTTTGAAATTAGGTCAAAACATAAGAAACCTTCTTCATGGTCACCAGCTGCAAACTCTAACCAAAAGTTCTGGTTGTTCGTGCACTTCCTTCTAGACTTTTGTGTTCAAAGAACTTAAGTTTTGTATTCAAACTCGTTTAAAAGATTTGGCTTGTATGCAGACTGTTGGTTCCTCACCTCTTAGGCAGATGCACTGTGACTTCAAAGGAAACACCACTAATTAGTTGCTTTTTATGTCATGGTTGTGCTAAACATTAAAAGTCGGGTGTGTTGCATGACAAAGTTATAAAATGACCCCCCCAAAAAAAACTTACATTAAAAAAAAGAATATCCCTAATCGGTATACACATTTTATTGCTAATCTTGAAACAAAAATATGTACATGCAGACACAAAACTGTGAACATAAGAAAGTAATAACTAATAACCCTAGAAATTTATAATAAACTTTATAACATTCAGATAATACAAATTGCAGGAACACAATTTAAGATACTTCTACAGGCTAAAGATTGGAAACATGACAAGTAAAAATTACTTTCCTTCATTCACACATTCTGACATTACATTTAGACACATTTACTCATTCAAGTATTCTAACATTACATTTAAATATTCCAACAAAATATTTAAACATTCCAACATTCCAAAAAATACATTTGAAAATTCTCACAGTACAGTTCAAACAGTCCTAAAAAAACTACAGACTGGTAAATGTACATCTGACTTAACCCTTTTGCCCTGTGAATGCTTTCAAAAAGAAAAGTTCATGACCTGTCGGAATTCCAGACAAAACTTTTTTATGAAACATTTTACACAGGTTACTTACTAGTTAACCAAAATTCTGAATTTATTTATCTCCATTTTTGTTTACACAACGGACATATAGAATAGGATAATCAATAAATGCATCTTAGTGAAGAAAATGAAATATATTCCTTCACTTCGGGGCCTAAATATTATTTTTAGTTAATACATTCACGTACAGGCTTAGTAAATACTGCGCAGGCGCAGAACCAATATTTAAACTAGGCTTTATAAGAACAAACTCCTGCAGATATGCTGTCATATCAGCATTTAAGGGGCTGTGTCACAACTGTAAGTGACCAGACTTAGTCTTCTCACCGCAACAGGGTTAAGATGAGAACTGACATCCACGGTTCACTTGCACACAAGCAGACAAGAAGAACAACTAAAAGTTGCAACATGTACACACCCTTCAATTTTTATTAATAACAAACCTTTGCTAACACAAAATGGCAAAGCATTATCTGAAACTTCAGATTTTTATCTGATATATTAGGCAAAACCTTGATAAAACACAACAAAAACAAGATAAGTATTATTTATGATCTACATGCTATTTTTACACCTCAGATCATGCCAACGTGTGTCGAATGTTAAATAAAAGATACTTATTCAAACTAAGACTATCAAACATACAATACTTACCGCTGCTTCCTGGAAAACAAATGTTTATATTAGGCAAATAAACCTGAGGTCACAGAAATGTTCCCAAATCAAAAAATTTTAGTTCATTATTCTGGTTAAATAATTTTTTTTTTTATTAATATAAATAATTTGTTTATTGTCAAAAGTAATTGGAACATTTAGGATTCTAAGGACTAAACTCAGAGTTTTTCATTTAAATCCTACCCTATTCTTTTATACTTTTTTTTTAATCATCAATTATCTTTCTATAAATTATTTTTTTTATTTATCATTAACATTTCTTCTACAATCTTTTTATTTATCATCACCAAAATTCTTTCAATAAATGAAGAGCCATCTCCCCAAAAGATTTTCAGCACTTTATCACCCTCTCTCTCTCTGGCCCGGTCTAATTTCCGCCCATCTCCTGTTATTTTACTTTTCATTTCACTGCCTACTCACATGCCTTCAACTTTTCTCCTTTGTGTAGTTATAAAAGCAATGCAGTTATATGTGGCTACAGTATCTGTCTCTATTTCCTCCAGAAGCTCTTTTCTGGGACCTCTATTTATTTCTAACAAATGCAGCATACTCTGTATACCTTCTTCTTCTGCCTTTTATCCCCCAAAGAAGCCTAGGCCCTCAACCATCTGATACCAAGTTGCTCTATCCTTCACTATTGCATGCAGCTCTCCCTAGTGTCATTCCTATGTTTTTAATTTCAGTCTTTAGCTCCTTTCTCCGTGGTTGTTAGTTCCCTCCCAAAGCTCAACATTAGTGATTCTATCATACCATTTCATTCTTTCAATTCTGCACAGGCACAGATTAATTATGTTTGTAGTTTAGTAGTGTTTTAGTTGTTCTGTGTTTCTGCTCCATACAACAGTACTAATCTGACATTAGAATTCAGTATATCTACTTTGAAGTATTTTCTGGCCCTGGTAAACCACTTGAGGTCAACAATGAAGCCGGTTCTACATCATAATACCAGTGTCAGTGCATCTGATGCTCTCTTGCAGCAACAGTTCCATGAGAAACTGCTGGAAGCCACAGCTTCATCACAGACCCATGTAGCAGACTATCCAAAGAACAAGACTAAGAAACTATTGTTAATAAACCTGCTGATGCTCTGGCAAAGTTAAGAGAAACACTGTGGCTTGTGGCACATCAGAGATCTAACCACCAGGCCCAGAAAGCCACTCAGGAAGCAATAATAAACAGGAGCTAGTTGACAGGGAACATTGCTATGACCCCTCCCAAGAAAACAACTAAAGCTGTGCTATAATAAGCTTTTTTTTTGTTCACCGGCTGTAAGATACGGTGGAAAGTTATGGTTGTTTGTCCATTTGGACTGGCTTTGTGCCAGGGCCTGAGTTTTGTGCACATACACCCGCTTCACTAGCTTATTTGTGTCCAGCTGGCTGTTCCTTGCCACTCGAGCAGGTGCACCCCATCTTCGAAGAAAGCACCTGATTAGTCTCTTAGGGCATTCTTGTTGAGGAGGCAGTGGGTTCATTCTTGTTTCCCCCACAATGGGGCCCCAGAACCCACACAGGGACTATAATAAACATATCCTTCGAGCTGCTGGAAAAAAACACATTATGATTAGAATATAACTACACATAAAACCAAACAAGCTGAAGCTATCACCTGGAAACAAAAAAACAGTGAGGAGTCATTTAACATAAAGCCTGTGATGCTTGCAATATCAACCTTTGTCGAAAAATTCCAGGAATTGAGCTCCGCTTCTTGGCTGTGCATCACTTTACCTAATTAGGATATGCTTTTACAGGACTAGAGAAACCAAACTTGGCAATTACAGACTGTTTGGTTTTTCAAGGCAATATTAAGTTTATTAGTTTGCCACTGCTACATGTATATTTATTTTCATTGTCTTTACTGCCTGCATGTACCATATTTTAGAGCTGCAGACATGGTGTCTTCAGCCCAGGGATTCCACATGGCTGTTGTATTTGCAGTGTGCAGGCTACGTTCATTTTCTTCTTTAAATAATCTAGTCAGAAAAAAATTTGCCGGCCTTAATGGGGCATTCTAACCACTTGGCACTGTCGCTTCTCACTGCATGTAGTACTATCTTTAATTGATGGCATGCATATTCCTTATACATTCAATTTTCAATAAGGAACATTCCAGTGTCTCAATGCTCAAATATGTTCGTGTAATATCAAGCATGGACACAAGACAACACTTTGCCATTGGTTGTAAAGTACAAGACAATAATTATGTAAAGAAACATTTTATATACACAAATTTACAAACAGGAAAGCAAAGTCGAATGAATTTATCTGCAACAAATTCGCCCCATAGTGAAACTACTAACAATGCAAGCATGTATTATTAATTATCCTGGATGCATAAACTCTTAATTAATCCTAAGATACACAGAGTTAAGAACTAACTAGTTTTATTAATCAATCTCCACTTCAGCATCATCAAGGACCTTTGGTCTTCTCTGAACAGTATCCCTATCTCTATTTGATGACTCTGACTGAGAGGTATCTTTGTTTTTGCCAACGTCTTTCTCTTGTTTAACTTCAACATCACTTTCCTCGCTATCACTATATCTTTTCCTGTCTTTTGTACGATGGCTGCTGGATTTCTTGCCACCGTCGTGGCTATCTCTCCTTCGGTCTTTGTCTCGCTTCTCTTCATGACTCTCCCTTCTTGATCTTCCCTTATCTCCAGAGTCACGTTTTCCTTTATCTCCAGAGTCACGCTTTGAATGCCTCTTATCTTCACTTCTTCTGTGTCTCTCAGTATTCCTTTCTTCGCTGTCCTCCTTCTTGTCTCTTTTTCTGTCCCTCCTACTTTCCTTGTGGTTTCTGTCTTTATTTCTCTGCTCCTCTTTGTCCTTATTTCTCTGCTCCTCTTTGTCCTTATTTCTCTGCTCCTCTTTGTCCTTATTTCTCTGCTCCTCTTTGTCCTTATTTCTCTGCTCCTCTCTGTCCTTATTTCTCTGCTCCTCTTTGTCCTTATTTCTCCACTCCTCTTTGTCTTTATTCTTCTGCTCCTCTCTGTCCTTATTTCTCTGCTCCTCTTTGTCCTTATGTCTTTGTCTCTCTCTGGCCAGCTCTCTTTCACTGTCACTACTCTCACTTTCAGATGCACTGCTTCCAGGTTCTTTATCATCTCTGTGTCCATCCGCAGAAAGATCCTCATTTGCTCCACCCTTCTTACCTGCCGCTGGTTCATCTAAGCCAGGCTGAATACCACTTGTGTTTCCTTCCGTTTCCTTGTCTGAGCCGGCATGATCCTTATCTACATCCGACTTCTCACTTTCATGGTGCTCCTGCTCCATTTCGCTTTCCGAATCACTACTAACCTCCCTCTCGACGACAACTGTCCTCCTGGACTTTTTTCTGGAGTCACCCAAATCATCCATCTCAGCATCCAACCTCTCCTCCTCATGGTCCTGGCCTAGTCTCTCTGCCACGGGGTTCGGCTGATCAATCTCTTCTTTGACTTCAACAACCCTCCCAGACTCCCCCATGCTTTCATTATTATGCCCCTCATCTTCCCCTACCTCTCCCTTCCCATCTCCATCTTCTAAGAGACCATCCTCTCTGAGCCGCATCTTGATCCTCTCTTCACGCTTGTTCTCTCTCTCCATGAGTTCCTTTATCTCTTTCTCTAGACGATCATTGCTCTCCTGAAGCATACCTAGTAGACATAGAAATTACAGAAAATTATTATATGTATGTATCTATAAACAGCGATATCATGGCACAATGTACAATATCAGAAAACAAGTTAACAATGGTATATAACTAGTGCAGCTTGTTACAGGTTTGGTTTTCAACCAAGATTTACCTCAAACTAATAAGTGAGTTTTCATTTAGAAAAAGATCATGAGGGCTAATAGACAAACTGTTGGGGCAATTAGAGAGAAAAGCAGACAGCAGACATAAAGTAGATGAATAACCAGAGCCTTCCATCGGATTCAACAATCAGTGAATGCCAATGAGGATAAACATGCAGACCTAAAACACTTTCACCACTAGAAAGAGAAGGCCAAGCACAGAAATGATGGAGAAGGGTGATATCTGCAGCAATGGACCTAAAGGATTTGGAATGCTAAACAAGATTTAACAGATGGAAAATCTAAGCCACAACACAACGTATCAACCACTCTTTTAAAGGCAAATTTAGAAGAAGACACCTCTTACTAAACTCAAGCATTCTGGGTGCCAAAAAAAAAAAAAAAGAAAGTGTAAACTTAACCCATTCGCTCTGGAAAAAAAATGGGTAATAACCCTGTTGGAATTCCAGGAAAAAATTCTAAGGATGACAACCACAAATGTTATTTTAATTAAAACCTTCATATCCTGACCTCCTAAATGTTTGCGCGAGCGAAAAAACAGCCACGAGCATTAACTCAGCATTTCATAAACAGGCCACTACAGACAAGCCGGAAAAGTTACATTTATAGGGAATGAGACCCAAGTGTCACATAACAGCATCAACTCCCCTACCACAATAGACTGGCCCACAGTCTGGACACCCCCATATTAATTGGTGTATCTATGATCACGGATAGTCCGTCCGTAGATATATAGTTCGTTTGTTGTTGGGGAGTCCAGCTGTGAGAAACCTATATAAATCGCTCCTGGATTGATCCTTCCTGGCGTAAGGTGTCAATATGTATGATAGGACACATTTTCTGCGCCTGTTCAAGCTTAATAGTTTGACCGCTTTAGTGTGTACTTGAGCAATGTCCTCGCGCCAACTGTTGTAGTTAAGGTTGTAGTTAAGCACTAGAAATGGGTACGTCACTTCTTCTTAGTCCGCTTAAGTGAGTGGATGTGTTTCAGCTCTGTGGCCACTTGACCATTAATAAAGCATCGTTGTTCTCTTTATTCGTTTGCATGGGTGAGTTTCCCTAAAAAAAGAAATATATATATATATATATATATATATATATATATATATATATATATATATATATATATATATATATATATATTTGTGCTCAGTGCCTGTATGTGTTTTGGAGAAAAGGTAGGCAAAATGATAATGCGAATCTATTTGTCTACGATCGCCTGCGACGAAAGACGATAGATAGCGATGCTGGTTGGAATGCACTTTCGGCTGAAATTTCTTCGTGAATTCTTCTAGCCTACGTTCTAAACCTATTCGGATCAATCAATCCCCCTGTCTGGAGTGTAAGTAATGTCTTGATAAACTGGTATGATCTAATAGGATCTTTTAATTGGTCTCTGAACTTGATGAGTCGGTTAACCGTTGAAAACGGGCAGCGCTCTTCTAGGAAAGCATGACGTCACATCCGCTGTTGCTAAACTTTCCACCAAAGTTTACAGCCGCTGAACGCGGAGAAGAACATGCCCTAAATTTTTTTTTTTATGTCGCACTTGTCAAAAAGCAGTGAGTATGTTCTCCCCCTACCCCAATGTGGCCCCAGAACCCACACACGGACAACATTGTCTGAATCCTGCCTGTACTTTACATCTAAGACTAGTTTTCTACACAAGTCTTTGAACTACAGAATAATTCTTACCATCAACAAACTTCTTAGACTCTTTCAGTTTGTTTTCTAAAGCTGCAGACATGTGCAAGGGTTTCCAGAAAATCCTAGGCTGAGTTTTGGTCACAATGAAGTTCTTCAGTTTCTTAACCTCTCCTGCCCGCTCTGCATGCTGCAGATTAACAAACACACATTCAATTATTTAATGGACCACCTATATAGGCAGTAGTGTAGACAAAGGTGGGGGAACTGACAGAGGGATTAAAATAAGAAAACAAAAGGCAAGGAGTGTTCATAGACCTATGCATTTTTTTGTTGAAATTATAACTTTATATTAAACTTTTTAATTCTTATTTCAAATCCAGTGCTGGTGTTTGGAGTGGAAATTGTGGAAAAGAATCAAAACAATTACTAATAAATTACAAACATTCCTTAGAATGAAGTAAATGCTTTGATAAAATCACTAATGTCGATTGAGCTTTAGGAGAGAACTAACATAATTCTGGTGAATCAAGAGATGAACAGATGCTGGCATTGGATAGAACACACGCTGAGAAAACCTGAAAACAATATAACTAGAAGGTCTGCATACTGGAACCCCCAGGGGTATATAATATAAAAGCATACCCCAGAAAAAGGAAAAGGTGGCTAGAGAGTGATGTTACAAAGACAGGAAGGACACGAGGTGAGCTGAATGCAAAAGCAAACGACTGGACAACTCGGCATGAGTCAGTTGAGGGGCCTCTCTCATAACATTCATATTAGGCTTTCTCTAGGACATCCCCATTTCCTCAACCCATGTGTTTTCACATTTAAGTGTGTCTTTGGTGTTTCTCTGTCAACTTATCAGGATCTTCCCAATATATTACCATCTTCTTTGTCTTTGAATTTTTTATATTACCCTATCATAAATTTTCTTTCTGATCTGGGCAATCAAAATTGCTATACAAATATGTACATGATGGATATAAAAGGGCATTAACAAACAGATAACTGTCAAAATTAAACATCTACCTATAAACTAATGTAATAACCAATAGCCTCATTGATATGGGATGCATCTTCCAAGTTATTTACCACATTAAACTGGCATTTATTAAAACTGACAGAAGCAGTGACAATTAGGATGGTTATGGTTTTTAAATTGTGATTATGTGGTTAATCTCAGACCTCCATGTTGCATGTACAAAGAAACAAGAGGTTCAGATCTGTATATAGTGACTGAAGGGATTTATATGTTGTGCTTCATTATATGTTCATGTAAACTGTAGAAATGAACAGGGTAAGATAGAGCAAATTAGGCCTGGCAATAAATTGTTTGTAAACAACATTTATTCATAAAAAAGCCATACAAGTGGAAAGATGAAGTCAATCAACCAAGAGGTAGACAGTGATATTTATTTTTATTTAATCGATCACCGGCTGTGAATTCCAGTGGAAGGTCCCGGTTAATCCCGCTTGGACTTTTGGCTTTCACCTGGACCTGATTTTTGCGTGTACAACCGTTTTTCATTTCCCTGCCTCGTGGGCAGCTGTACTCCGACTTCGAAGGAAGACGTCAGGCCTATTTCTAGGTTGACTGTGGCCATTGTTTTGTGTGGGTCGAGACGTTGCCTGATTTGTGTGGTGTCCACTTTGTCTCCTTCGCCACAGGTATTGCCCTCGGAGTACCCCTTTGGGGCAGCCCCCTGTGGAACAGTTAGCCCTCAAGGGAAGGCAGGGGCAGATCATGGGCATTACCCGCCATCCAAGGAGGCTTCCATGCATGCAGAGCCGGCACATTCTTTTTTTTTCTTTTTTTTTCCTCGCACGTTAGATTTCTTTGACGAGCCGTTAGCCCGACAGAATTTTACATCCTGCATCAGGCATATCGTTATCAGTTTTGTCCCAACACTCGGGCGAGTGGGGTCTTTGGGTGTGGACATTCGGTCTTTTTCAGTTCAATACAAATTTTGATGGTCAGATTTTGATCCGTATGATCTAGTTTTGTCGGACAATTAGGCTTAGCCATCCGATGGTTGGTTGCTGTTGTGGTGTACCTCAGCGCGGTGACGACGACACTGAGGGTTAACCGAGGATGTACATGAATGGCCAGCCTATGTATGGTTGCTGTTGTGGTGTACCTCAGCGCGGTGACGACGACACTGAGGGTTAACCGAGGATGTACAAGGATGGCCAGCCTATAGATGGTTGCTGTTGTGGTGTACCTCAGCGCGGTGACGACGACACTGAGGGTTAACCGAGGATGTACATGAATGGCCAGCCTATGGATGGTTGCTGTTGTGGTGTACCTCAGCGCGGTGACGACGACACTGAGGGTTAACCGAGGATGTACATGAATGGCCAGCCTATGGATGGTTGCTGTTGTGGTGTACCTCAGCGCGGTGACGACGACACTGAGGGTTAACCGAGGATGTACAAGGATGGCCAGCCTATGGATGGTTGCTGTTGTGGTGTACCTCAGCGCGGTGACGACGACACTGAGGGTTAACAGAGGATGTGCAGTGAACAATGTTCTCTTTACTCCGCAGTATTTTAACCAAGGGTTGTAATTTTGGCTGTACGTTTGGCAAACCTACTCATGTTCCTAATGAGTTTCGGTAACATTTTTCACCCAAGCGTTTGGGGGCGGGCTGATGAGAGCCACAAGGACACATCACCTCTGGGGGCCGCCGAACTACGAGATCCCCTGACAGCTCTGTTAATGCTCATTTGAGACATTATCCGTGGCGCACGACGAGGACGTGCTGTAGGGGTCTTGCGTGAGGTTCCGTACAACCAGGATAGTAAAGGACTGGCGCCCGAGTGACGTACGGAGTATCTCCTTATACACATCATGTTGGACTTAACTTCCCCTCACGCCTGTGACATAAATCACCGCGCCACAGACAGTGATATAAAAGGGAGGATATCATCAAGAGATGGACAAACAGCAGTCTCAGAGTTTACAACCAGGGCAAGAGACAAGTGGAGATCCATTGGTGCCAACCCTATATACTGATACCTGGTCTAATTCCATTATTTCTGTAAGATAATATTCGACAATGTCTTTCCAACTTCTTCAGTAGTATTTTCAATCAATGTCTGGTATTTTAATGCATTCGATATGTCTCTGCATCCACTATTTGAATGGGTACTCTGCATCACTTTGTTTGCAGAACAACTTACATCTCAATAAACACTCGCCACCTTGGACTTGAGTTTTCATTTCCATTATAAGATACAGTCTTCAATGTGTCCCCAACAAAAAACCAACCGTAAAGCAACCCTACAATAACAAGAGAACTACTGCCTACCTCCTGAACCATTTCCATTTTTTGCTGAAGACGTGAGATCTTGGACTGCTCCAGGTGCATCTCTTCAATCAGAAGCTTGGTCTCCTGTTTGAACTTCCTCTTCTCCTTCTCTGCATTCTCCTCCACCTTTTCTTCAATTCTCTTTCTCTGATACTCCTTTGAAATAAAAATGTGCATTTTATTATTAACACTAGGAAACAAATCAGCAACACATGCAATTAAAAAAATCTTAGATACTAATTAATATAACAATTTTAGTGTCCTTTGGATATTTTCTCCACACTGCACTGGTGTGTCGGGAAATTAAAGGGTAGACAGTCTGGATGGTGCTAATGCATGACACGTTGAGGTGATTCAATCATTTAACAAAACCGTTGACCCGTTAGGGTCGGTGGTGTATCGAATATTGATGAAAAAGTGTATAACTTAGTCCTGCCAATTTCTTGATGTTGTCTTATCAGGTCCTTCTTTGCCCTTCTCTTCTTCAACTACTCCCCAATATTCCTTGACGTAGTTTTTTGCAATTACGTCTCATCACGTGCCCGAACCTAGCTAGCTTGCGACATTTCACCACTGCCAAGAAAGATTCCTAAGGTCTTGCAAATTTGTATATTTTTTCTTTGGCATATTTGTTAGTTGTGTTCTAAAAAACGAATTTGTAGAAGGCGCCTACAGCATTTACATTCAAAACCATTGAGGAGCATGTGAACAAGGCAGAAGCGTAAACAAATCAGGGTATGGAGAGAACAATGCAGTGGGCAGCGACCCAGAGGTATGGCCAACACCTAGCATCTTACAGGAATAGCAAGACAGACATACAGTCAGACTATTATTGGTACCACTCATCACCATCATGCAGCAGGTCTTTTGCAGAACGTCACTCTCACCACAGTCCGCCTGAAAAAAACTCGGTTTCTCGCCAGTTCTCCTGCCTCATGTACTTTCATACTCAATGAGTCACTTATATCCTGTGCCCATCTTTGTGTCGGTCGGCCCCATGCGCCCCCTTCCTGGTACCATGCCTTCTGCTATAATTTTATCCAATCCGTTGTGGCGCTTGATATGACCAAAATATTTCAGCTTCAGAGAAAGGATGCTGTTTATTAGCCAATCTTGATGTTCAGATCTTTTAAGATGTCAATATTTCTCCTCTTCTTTCTCCAAGATATTCTGAGAATCTTTCTATAGCCTTTCAGCTCAAAGGCCACTATTCTCTTTCTTAAGGACTAAGAGATACCACTAGAATCAGAAATATGTGCTAACTGCTGAAGATGGTGTGCTTTTGGAAATGTCCTGTGTGCTGTGGTATTAGTTCTTAACAATTTCAGTAAGGAATCTGATCTATTTAGTTCGTAGTATAACATTCACACAAAACCTACAGTAAGCTACTTGTAGTTGTGACATTCAGACAGCATTTACACAGCATCTGCATCTGGGGTAATCTATTTCTAATAGTGAAATTTAAAGAAAAAAATTACCAGTGTAATCTACTGATTTTAGATGGGCAGTATTCTGAGGCTTCTATTTTAAAGAACTTCTGTTAGAATATATATGCTATAATGGAAGGTATCCTATATTGATATACGGATGTGAATCATAGACAGCAAATTAGTGAAAACATTTGAAAGCTGAGGAGATGTGGTTTTATAGACGAATTATGAGAATATACTGGACAGATAAAAACAGTAATGAAGACGTCATGAAAGAAACTGACTCACAGAGAGAACTGACTGACCACATCAGAAAGAGACAATCTGCATTCTTTGGTCACATGATGAGAAGGAGAAAACTGAAGTACATTTTGACGGTATGAAATTTGAAGGGGAGGAGAGGCAGAGGGAGACCAAGAGAAAAGATGATGGACAGTTTGACACCATGGCATGGAGGATCATTTGTGTCAGGGTTCACTGAAAGTACACGAGACAGAAGGTTGTGGATAGACATGACTACCAACGCCAGACAGCATAAGCATTAAGAAGAACAGAAGAACGGAAGGTTATTGGCCTTGATCAATGCTAGTGTCCAGTCCGAGTTTTCCTGTATACCATACAGCTTCTTCTTGACTGAGGTAAGAACAGATCAGATGGTTTCTCTGTCAGCAACTGCAATTTATATTGTTGGTGTACACTCGGCATTTGTGCATGAGGTTACAAGGACACACAGCTTTGTTTACTTTGTGCAGTGGTTGTGTCGTGGTATTCAGCCAGGTTTACGTATGGGATGGTTAAATTAGGCAATAATTTTACATGTGTATGACTAACTTATCATGACTGACTGCTTCTATCAACGACAAACTATTTCTGGTGGTGACTGGTGGCTCTGGCCCCTCTAGAAACTGCCTTATTCATTTGCTGAGTGCGCATATTTCTAGACTGTGCCGAGACTAATTGCTTTTTCATCAGTTTTGCAAATGAGACAGTGGGGGATATTTCATTTGATTTCCACTAGCACAGGGACACAGAGCTTGTATGGGGACAACCCAACTGCAGTGAAGTTGAAACCTCGACTAATGCTACTACAAGAACACGTGAGTTGAGTCAAGAAGTGACATCACAGCACTCGGGGTTTCCCCATTCAAGAACACATATTAATTAAGTCTTTCTGCTATGCCTGTCCTTAGTCCGAAAATGACACAATGTCCTTCTCTAGAGAGGCGATGAAGTGGGTCTTGCATTGCAGAGAAAAACTGATGTGTCGAGTCAGTGTAGATTTTAATTCCCGTGACAAAACTTTCCTCATTTTTTTTTATTGATTCCATTCCTATGTAAACTTTTTTATTTTCTTTTATGAATTCCATTCCTGTGAATAAGCTGTATAATGTCCGACAAACCTTGAGTTCTTAATGTCAAAAAGGTGGAGACTTGTTATCTTACACCCTATATTCTTTGAAAACTGTCAAAAGCTCACCACTAGGAGGGTAATTATTCAAACTAAAAATTTGGAAACTCAAACAAGGAATGTTTTAAGTTGACTACTATTTTAATACCTATCTAATGTGAGATTAAAGACAAATTTAAGTATTTCACCTTCGATTCCATAGTCTTTGACTCAGTTCTGAACTTGTTTAGGGTTCCTAATAGTAGTCCAAACATTCGTCTATTTCTGTGGAGACAAATTAATGTAATCCTCAGGTAAACATGTATCTTCATCACAAATATTTGCATGCAAGTAACTACAGAGGAGATTTGATGAAATTGTATTTTTTTGGGGGGGTCACTTCTACGTTTTTCTTTTCCTTTCATCTCCCAGTGTCCCTGTGTGGTGGGTTGTGCGAGATGCACTGCCCCACAAGTGTGGTGTAAACATAATTACTAATTAGCAGTTAGCTAAAATGAGGAATGTTCGGTCAAAGGGCACAGATATCATAATCTGTGCTGTAAACCACAATACAACACTGCTCATACAAGCATGTCATGCAAAGTGACAATCAGGGATGTTTCCTTTAATGTCGGAGTGCATCTGCCTGAGAGGCAAGGAACCAACAGTTAGTCTTCAAATAAACCAGATCTGTTAAATGAATGTGCATGTCAAGTTCTGGATCACAACTAAAGTCCAGAAGACAACAAAAAAAACCAGAACTTTTGCTGGAGTTAATAGCCTGTGAATGTTAAGAAGAAGAAGAATCTCCCAATGGAACACAGCCCACAGGAAGCCCTTTGTAGACTTTCCCGATTAAGCTGAGTTAACAAGTGAATTGCAGACTCTCATTAAATTAGCTAGAAATAATGGCCACAGTCCGGATGTCAAAAACACCTCAACAGTCACTGGTGTGAAGGCCCCATTCTGGACACCGGAAAGATGCTGCCCAAACCTGTCCACTAGACGTAGCCAAGCTTCACTGATGTATTTCATGCCAGATATTTTGCAGATGAGGTCATAAATGACCAAGCAGTTAGTGCAGGAGAATCCCTAGTCTATGGAATTTTATGGACAGCAGCAGAAGGGAGTACAAGACTGTCAGCCTTTACCACATAGTGTTAGGCCTTACATAGAGGTTTATGACCAGAAACTACACCTGATATCCAATTGGGTTTAGATAGTTTAGACAAGGGATCAACATCATGGCACAAGGGGTAACCCATAGGTGCTCCATTCCACTTCTGCCTCAAGCCGGAGTCCGAAGAATCTCAGCACAGTGCATGAATTCTGTAGCACCGGCGAGGATCCTAAAAAACTTTGGGTAGATTTTTAACCTCAAAAATTTCCCGCATAGCGTCTTTAGGCTACTCTTTTTAATTTCTAACTGTCGATGGATTTTTTACATGTGCAACAATACACACGGGCGTCCGATCTTACTACCAAGAGACCAGGAAAAATTACTATAAACCCAAGCGAAAAAATCCCAGTCTTCACCGGGGCCTTCAGCCTTCGAGACGGATACCATGCCTTGATACAACGCATCCCCTTAAAGGAGATCCAGATGTAGGACAAAACCGAGCAACTTCTGACTAGGATGTAAAAAGTTGCCTCATAAGAATCATAAAATTCTACCTTAAGAAACTACAGGAAGAGAAGAAGCCTGGAGTCTTGGTCAGATTTTAAACAATTCCAGGACGTTGAAACCTATGACCACCAAGCAGACAGGTAAGCCTGCTGGTTACTGTGTCATCGTGGCTCTTAAGTGACCCAAAATACAAAAAAAATTTTAATCATTCTATTTTTTTGTTTACTACCCAAAAAAAAAAAAAAAACTTTCCTGTAAATACTGAATATAAATGAAGCAAAGAATTAACTGCTTTTATTTCCTTTGACCAAGAGACCAGAGATTTTGTTGACACAGCTTTGGAAAATAAAGTGACATAATTTTAAGTTTATTATGATGTCACAATGTAACCATTATTTTTTTTAATACCCTAACTAATGTTTTTTATGTATTCTTCTTCTTCTTCTTCTTCGCGTTCACCAGCTGTACACTCTGGCGGAAAGTTCTGGTTGCTCGTCCACTACTGAACTGCAGTCCTGCTCCAGAACCTGAGTGTTGCGTGTGCATCAGTTTTACAGATCTCATTCTCTTGAACACAGACTGTTGGTTCCTTGCCTCTCCAGCAGATGCACTCCGACTTCAAAGGAAGCTCCACAATTAGTCGACTCTTACGACATGCTTTTGGGGAGGCAGTGGGTCTATTCTTGTTTTCCCCACAATGGGGCCCCGGTACCCACACGGGGGATTTTATGTATTAATATAATCATACCCACGTCTATACACCAGAAGTTGCAGCCAGTATCAAAATGCTATACAGGTTAGGTTTAACAGCAACTGCCCAAAGATCTCATGTCATGAAAAACCAACTTTCCCTTGGTGAAAGGGTTCAGCTAAAACATATAAACACATTTTATTCAACTTAAAAGAAACTCTGAACCACCTACCTCTGCATTCCCTCTTTATCCTTGGTTTGTTCCTGCATGATTTCCTTTCTATTTTTGGACTCTCTAGAGGTGGACACAACGGAGGAATGGACAGACAGCTGAAAATTCAAGTAGAAAACATTCCTCAATATCATCAATATTTTCTTTAGTATTATAAAAACTACATAATCAAAAAAACTAAATGGATGACAAAGACAAGGTGAAATATATTCATTTCTTTATATTTGACAATCGTCGTCATCATCATCATCCTCAGCTCTGATCATGGGCTCAACAAAGGAATCGTCAATTCCTGCAGATGAATGCTTAACTCACAGCTTCCACCTCGTCATGGGCTGCACCCTCTGAGGATAAGTGGGAAACAGCATGCAGGTCCAGGAATTTGCTGACAACACAAATAGGTACATTCTTCTTCAAAGTGTAAAAACGGTGTTTCATCCTGACACTTAGCACATCGATATGAAAAAGTATGCATCAGGCACAGCTTCCTTTTTTTTTTTTTTTTTTTTTTTTTTGGTCTAGGCACTTAGGTATCTGAAACTTTCTGCCAAACAGTAGGACATTTGACTGGGATATTCAAGACTTTGCTGTTACACCATAGGTCATTATTTGAGGGACATTTGAGACTAGAAAAAATGTGGAGATTCCTTGGGTGAGCCCAGGGCTAGAGCCTCCTTAGATTGCAGGGAATGCCTATGATTTACCCCTGCTTTCCCTTGAGGGCCGACCAGTCTACATGTGGTTGCCGTGTTCTCAAGGGGCAACACCTGTAGATAATGGGACAAAGAGAAAACCACAGAAAAAAGGCTATGTCATGTCCCACAAAACTATCCGGGAAGTTAACTCGGTCAAAAAATGTTTGATGAAGCTGGATGTGTCAGCCGAAATGCGTAAATATTGCAGCTTTGCTGTAAACAGGCACAACACAATTTAGTCACTCGAGCAAAAAGAAAAAAAAAACAAAGTGTAAAATTGCCTAGTAAAACCACAAACACCAAAATTGATGGGGCTGGTTCTGCAAAGTTCTGTAGAGGATTCTTGGATGTGTGTTGGAGACTGAGTTTATAGATTTGTGTCAAATGCATTCCCTGCGGGATGTTCACCACATCATCCTCTAAGTGCTGGTTGGTCTATAACAATATAGGTCTAGCACTATATGCCCGGTGCACCAGAATTATGAAAAGAACCATTTACTTTACTATAGTACATTAAAAAAGGTATTGTTACCAAAAACAATTGTGTTTCAGATTAGAATGCCCAGCTTCGGATTGTAATGGTTTCAGACTTTTATACATCCTAAATAAATTTCGTGAAACAATCATCAAGTACCTTATTGGGTAGTTCCTCTTCATATGGGCTGTCTTCTCTGTCCCTCCTGCGAACAGGGACCGGTCCCAGCCTGCAAATAGAATAAAAGTAATAATATATATTATGACAACATTATTAATAAAGCAGACATGCTGCTATATAATTTTTTTTTTAAACTTTCCATTTGATTCAATAACAGAGATGTAAGCTAGCACAATGTAACTATTGGCAGTATCTTACAATTAGAGAGGCTAAAGTTCAGGTGGATAAGCTAAGGCAGCGGTTCTCAAACTAGGTGCTGCGTATACCAGGGGTGCCACAGCAATAATCAAGAATTTCTCAAAAATCTGCTTGTAATCAGCAAAGACAGCAGTTTAAAACAGAAATACAGTGAAGGAAGTCAAGAAGAGTTCTGGATGCAGTGCAATATCAACGTACGCATACATTAAAAAAAACAGACACAGGTCTGTCAGGAGCAACCTTCAGGTGATTTGAGGGTATAATTCACTAAATTTCACACAAACATAAAGGAATAGTCTTTTTTTCTCTCCCTAAGTATTCAACCCGCTTAAAGGGTGTGCTTGCCGCAAAATTTGTTTTGCCCGACAAGGATGCTGTGGTCAGAGAAGTTTAGAAAACGCTGAGCCAAGGTACAGTGACTACTGACAGGGTCTTCCCAGATGGACATGATTAAGTAGAGAAACCATCAACAGTCTTCATACATTGGCAGGCTACAGTTAAGAGACAACAAACAAGTTATTCCCAGCTGGAATGACACCACTAGAGAAGCATCACTGTTGAATTCTACTACCATCATCAACATACCCTTGAATTCCTCACTTTAATATCAATTGAACGTGAGAAAACAAATTAATTACAAAACTTACCTAGAGAATGCTCCGCCAACAGCTCTTCTCTTAGTTGGGGGTCCACTGTCATCCATGCTGTGTCTAGAAACAAAAATAATAAACAGCTTTATTAATAATATCCTATCTCTGTCTCTATCAAGATGCTTACAAGCACAAAATGACTCATCATGTTATCAGGTGTGGGTGGCCATGCTTCATGACATCTTGCAAACCGCACAAAGAAATGTACCAATTTATGTGCTGATAAAGCTATCAAGTTTTAACTACATGCTCCATTTGTCTCTTCTCAAAATGTGGAAAAGGGGGGGGGGGGGGGGGGGGGGGTGTGAATTATAATTACCCTATTCTGTTTTTTGTAATAATTTGCCTTTATGTCCCAGAGTAGGCTAAGCCAGGCAACAAATGCGAGAAGGTTGTGGATGTGTCAGCCAAAAGGCGCAGCCATGCTATAAATCAATGTTCCTCAACCTTTCTACACCTGCGGCCCACCAAAACAGGGGATAGTGTTTCACGGCCCAGTTGACAGCTAGCCAAACTCAGAAGCAAGAACAAATGTACATAGTAGTTTATTTGTTGAATTCTATGTCACAAAATTAAATTTGTTGAGCAAATTTGACATTTGCTGCTGCTTAAAGGTTTACCATATCCTCCTGAGGTTGACAAATTTATCTGGATGGCAGACCAACAAGGTAGGTCCCAGAAACCATGTTCAACCTGTAAAGTTATAATCAGGGCACCTATAATGGCTACACTAGCCAGGAGTTGGAAGTGGCTGACTGATGTGAATTTTAGAAAGTCTGTTAAAAGAAAGACAGAGGAATGTAGATTTTTCTCTCAGACTGTGATAACTAGTCTTTTGATTTTTTTGTGTGTGCAAAATCTTTCACAGCGTTTTAAACTCATACCCTAAAAGAGTAACAGCAGAAATAAAAGCGTTAACAAACCTTGTCATTCCAAAAACTCTTCCTCTACCTCTAGATGCCCTGTTAGGGTAGTCATTTTCTTCCCGTTCTGTTCCTTCATTGGACAACAATCGACGTATACTGTAAAATACAATCATAATATTCATCATGACTGTTAACATCACTTGTATGCAACTGCAACATTTGTGCAAAACTCTGAATTAAACATATTTTTTGTAGTCAAATCTTTTTCTTCGCGATCACTGGTTTTCTTCAATTTCTTGACTTTGGTCTTGTCCCAGAAAACTGAGTATTGCATGCACATCCAGTTTACAGATCTAGGTTTTTTTTTAATGCAAACTGCTGGTTCCTCACCTCTCAGGCAGATGCACTCAAACTTCAAAGAAAAATCCCTAAACAGTAGACTCTAATGACATGCTTGTTAGAAGGCAGTGGGTATATTCGCCCCCCCCCCCCCCCCCCTTTTCACACTGGGGTCCTGGAACCCACACAATGGTGTAGGGAATTGTAGTTATATATAAAAGTAGGCAAACTGTGAAACATCTAAGAGTAGCAAAACTATGGTGTAATGGGAAAATGCAAATCTTGGACCTTAATGTTCTGAAGTAAATCCTTTTGATATTCCTCTATTCCACTGTTTTAGACCATCCAGCATTTCTTCTCTCAGTCTGCCTGTTTTTTTTTTCTACTACTTATTTTTACAGTCACCATGTTTTCAAAAGCTTATGCCTTCCTTCATTATTCAACATACAAATACTTTTTTCCATGTGTGCATTCCAGGACTAAATATTTTTTTTTTGGGGGGGGGGGGGAGGGGTGAATGCTCTCTAACAAGCTTGTCACCAAAGTCAACTCGAATAATTATGAGCCTCTGCTTCGAAGTTGGAGTGCATCTGCCTGAAAGGTGAAAAACCAACATTCTGGTCAATAAGTAAAGCAATATGGGCTATCCTCTGAATAACGGGCACATATTATGGCGGCCGCAAAAACACCCTAACAGGGCCTCAGTCACATGTCAATTGCGGACTTTCTGCAACTTAAATTGCGCGCTTCCGGCCACTACTGCCACGCCGCTGCGCGCGGCATGGATTGGGGATAAACTAGATGGCTGGTACTCACGAGCAGCAGCTTCCACATCTCCTGCAGCTTTGCTCGTGAGTCCCAGCCATCTAGTTTAGCCCCAACCCACGCCACGCATAGCGGCGGGGGAGATACTCTTGGCGGTGGCAGTAGTCGCTAGAAGTCTGCAAATTAAGACGCCGGAAGTCCACACTTTACATGTGACTGAGACCCTGTTTTTGGCCACCATAATATGTGCTCGTTATTCAAAGGATGGCCGCAATATGTATAAGGTGTATATGTAAAACTAAAGCTTCTGGAACAAGACTGGAGTTCAGACAAAGTGAATAAACAAACGGAAAAGTAGAGAAATATATTTTAGTATAGTTTTATTAGCTTCGTTCAGGCTAATCATATGCGGCTTAGGAGTTATAAATGCAGATTTATTGATTCTGACCTACTGCTCCACTGCTTGGTTCAGTTTAGTTTAGCAGCAGGTGAACTGGCAGCTGTTCTATCTATGTAACGTACTCTACGTCTACACATATATTTCAAATCAACAATGCGGCTGTCAACCTAAGGCTTAAGGTGAAAATAGCAAAATACCCTGCAAGACATTATTTGATTATTCTACGCCTCAGAACAGGATACAATTGACTCAGCAGCCATATGCGCATATGTTATGTACTAAAAAATTTACATTAACGTTAAAGTTTGTACAGGCCGCTAAGTGAATTAGCAATCAATTACAAAAGACACTGAACATGGAAGTTGAAAGTTCATACTACTATACTACTATTAATTAGACTATTGATAGATAGCATTGCAGATGAGATTAGCAACTACGGTGTTCGGAAATTTGCGGTCTTTTTGGCAATTTGCGTTACCATGGAAACTGTTTTAAACTTGTTTGGGAAATGTCGCTTGGGGTTTCGGGATGGGTCCTAATCTCTCATGAAATTTTGCGATTAATGTGATTTTCACCAGCTATAAATAGCTGAAAACGGCGGGAATGAACCCGATTAACAGCGCATGTCTACGACAGCCGGACGTCCTCTGTTTTTCTGTTACACCAGTTTGACTGAAAATAGCGGTAAAGTATTCAAGGTTGGCTTTAGGCCTTAAACATTACCAGACATGGTAATGCTAGTTATAATTGAATTCTCTGTCCAATTTTATATTTGTATATATATATATATATATAAAATTTCTTTCCTAGGTATGGCTAATTCGATTTACAGTGACATTCTTCAGGCAATCGCTATTATGAGGCATGAAAGAGGCACCGTTGGAAAGGGTTTTTCAAACCGGATGACGCTGTACTTGTTTTATGAGGATAAAACGATTTTGAAAATTTGACCAAAGTTGCTATATTATGTGGCTGTGTCTGAGAAAATTTGTCTGCCATCTTGTCCAATGAAAACAAAGCCAAAACGAAAGTGCGCAGTTTGGTTGCGCAGAGAAAACTTTTTGTTTCTGGGACGCAAGTTTTCAACAGCTGTTTTTTACATCTCATCTCCACAAAAACCTACATATCTCAGCTCAAAAATGGCATACAAGCCTAAATGAGGTACCGTTGGAAAGAGATTGTTTACAGCTATCTAACTGTGCTGGTTTTATTGGTGTTTAGGCATTTAAAAAATTTGACTAAAGTATGAGATTTAGATCATTTATTTCAAGTGACAAACGAAATAAAAAGAAGAAAAACTGAGCTGAAGTACTTACCAGCTTAATCAATGCTCAGCTCAACAACAACAACAAAGACAGAAAACAAAATTATACTTAACATAAACATGGGATCGAAGACGTTGGTCCCGTCGTGACCACGACGTTCACGTTGTTTGAATGTTTGGTCATAAAAATAAACTTTCAAGTCAAGTTAAACTGCTAAACACTGCAATTATTGCATTAACTACTAACAGTTACGGACACTTACCCTGGTCTTGTAGGATCCCTGCCAGTTAACTTTTTAATATTTTCATTATATTCTTTTAGTTTATCTTTGGCTTTTTCTATCTCACTCTGTAACACCTCAACGCCTCTAAGCTCCGCCATTTTCTGTGTTTAACCTCTTCAAACGCTGATTGTTCAAATAGCAATTTTTGGCAGCTGCCAGGTTTCGGAAATTTCATGAGAAGATATCAAATCAACTGAGAATGTACACCAGCCAGCTTCGTAATATAACAAACACAAACGGAAAGTGAATTTTGGGCTTCAGCACCTTCATCAGCATATTAGTCAAGTACGAGAACCTTCTTCTACGCCTTCAGACGTATTGGGCATATAGGGATATACCTATATTTGTTTATACCAATCGGCATTTGGTGGGTGATGGGATCAGCCAAGGTCAAACGTTCGATCCGCAGGCGATCACCACGTTGACTCCCAGAATATTACATCCATCAACAAAACCAACCTCATTGATCCCGATCAGTTGCAGTACCTCGCCAAATGTGTACCGACATTTTTCTTAAAGTATTCAGGAACCATGAGTTGTAAACCCTTTAGCTCGGTACTATGGACATCGCAACCCTTCGGTCTTGATACCATTATAGGTACCGTAAATCTGGGAGAAATGTGGCTTTTCTGCCTACCCCTGGGAGTGAACCCGGACCACAAGGAGTTCGTCACCTGGCCGTCACGAAGTCAGCTTTAACCAACTACGCTAGCGAGCCGGGCGTGTCCTAACATAACTACAGTGGAGCCTCGCTTAACGAGCATAATTCGTTTCAGAATCGTACTCGTTAAGCGAAACACTCGTTATGCGAAACAATTTTTCTCATATAAATTAATGTAAAATACGATAATGCGTTCCATGTCGAAAAAGATACTCACAAAATGCTATGTATAACGTTTATTAAAGGGAAACTATAAACATATTGTTAAGGAGAGTGGATCACCTTAATCTTTTCTTCAAACGCGTAACGAACCCACAAGGAATGCGAATTCGATTTGCAGAAGAAAAAAAGTCGAAATAATTATGATACATGGCTAATTTTTTTTTTTTTTTTTTTACTAGAAAGGATGTCCAGAGATTTGTTTTTGCCGACGCTTCAAAATTTGGCGAAAATGCGACACAGCATTATCATTAAATAAATTTGCAACGCGCATAGCCACTTCCTTTAGAGCGATGCTTCTCAGTGTAAGATGCAACAGTTTGCCATGCTTTCAGCATTTCTCTTATTTCTCCAGAAAATTGTTACTTTTCTGTTACCTTCTTCTCTGACAAACTTTCCTCCAAAACGCAGCTCTTGGCTGTGCTCTTCCACAAGCTCTTTGATATCACTGTTATCCACCTACAACCCCATGATAGTGGCCAAAGACCCAATCTCGTTGACTACAGGTTTCACTGTCTCGAACCCCTCAAAGTCACAAAATAGACAACACTCTCCGGCCAAAGCTTCTTCCAAGCAGAAGTTCGGGTTCTCTAGGTAACCCCTTCTCCCGCCTTGTCGATCATCTTGAGGCAGGCAAAGATGTGGACGTGATTTTTCTCTAAAACTCTTTGAGAGTAAAGTTGGTCCCTTCAGTCACCTGAAAACAATGCTCGAAGAGTGCTTTAGTGTAGAGCTTCATAACGTTAGAAATAACTTACTCGTCCATGAGCTGGAGTAACGGAGTGGTGTTGAAAGGCAGAAATTGGATCTTGATGAACTTAAATTCTTCGGAGAGGTAATCTTGTAGGCCTGGAAGATTCGTGTACATATATCACAATATAACACAAGTTTGAGAAAATGTGTGATCACAAGTGACACTACGATGCTACTGGAACGAGTGCTAAACACAGACTGATGTAACATGCGCACAATTCGGGACTTCCCCTCTCCTCGCCACTCGTTATGCGAAACGTCGCTCGTTAAGCAAGTCATTTTTTTTTTACAATTTGTTTTGCTCGTTATGCGAGGTGCTCGTTAAGCGAGGTTCTACTGTATTCCTTACTGGGGAGTGGGGGGGGGGGGACTATTTGACCGACAATGGGTTCCTGTACAAATAGTCTCGATGGACAATGACGAGCAGCACATAATCTTAAACCAATAAGCGCCATTATTACGCAGAATAGTCAAAGATATTTCGCAAGAATACTGATTACTAGTTCATCATAACAGATGATGATATCATCATAGACATCTTAGCAAATCTGATATACCCATAGATGCTCCGTTTTCCACAGCAAATGCCTTAAAGCGTAGATGCTAACCGTTACCATTCACATTGATTATATACAGGTCGTTTCCTTTCTCTCATACGTCCAGCCTTGTCGGATCTAAACGTAATGTCTCGTTTAAACATTCTTACCCGAGGTATTTCCATTAACCTCAGGTCGTCTATCAGCGTTCATTCATAAATGGTCTTCAGAACGTCTCCTTGGTTCGGCACGAGCATTCCCGCTTTTTTATTCTCTCTCACTCCCGCATATCCTGGACAGTGTACCCATGTAAACCCCACACACACACCCTCCCCTACCTCCAATTGTTGCGGTTCTGCTGTTTGGTATCCACTTATGCCACATTTGACTATTTTGAACCTTCTGCAGTACCGACTGAGAAACAGGCACTATAATTCCTATGGAATTTCAACAAAAATACACAACACGAATCCAAGAAGCGCTGTCGGTAGGAAAATAAAGATCACAATTACAACCACAGCTTACTCGAGCAAATTAAACGCCCCCCCCCCCTTCTCCCAAATTAAAGCAAGCATTTAAACCAGACAATTTAAACATATGACTTTGACAATTAGCAAACCACTAAACAATTTCTTAGGATCTCATAGATGTCGTTTTACAGGAGAATGCTTTAAATTCTTTGGACGACAGGATGAGCAATCTTTATATTTTTAAGGAGCGCAAACTCGAAGAGGTAATAGTCCGTTTTGAGAAGGATGGTACAGGTTGAAACAACTGAAAAGAGTTATGGAAAGAGAGCGCACGCTTGATGCTGATGGTGTCAAGTTTTTGTGGAGAGATCACAACAGCCTGGCCTAAACATTCATTTAAAACAGATTGATCACGATAACAGTAAAGTATAGAACAATACGATCTCACTTAGTGAAGCTTTGCTTCAAGAGTGAAATCATACACATATTTAGATATACAGTGATACCTCGGTACACGTACGTAATCCGTTCCTGATCCTTGGACACATAGCAAACTGTATGTATACCAAACGAATTTTCCCCTAAGAAATAAAAGGAGAATGATAAATCTGTTCCCATGGTTAAATCGAAAATCCCGTTTTTAGCAGTGTAGTAATCATTGATGAAGGTTGTATAAAGTAATTAATATACTATCTAATATAAAATTACATAAGTACGAAAGAAATAACCCGTAATTATCTCACTTTACCTCCCTGATATGAGTCGATCGCCTACTAGGATGGTAATGAGAAGTTCTGATGAGATATGAATGTTTGGAAAGAGAATTCCCTTCCAATGTGAAATTCAGTTTTTTTTTTGTTTTTTTTTTGGGGGGGGGGGGAGGGGGAGGGGGGGGGGGGGGAGGGGTGTCCGTGTTCGTTGCTTAGACCTGGCGGAGGCTCAGCAGGTTTAACTGCTCCTAACAATTTCTTCAAATAACTTTGCTTCTTCATCGCGCCGACATTGTTAGAGCCCTTAGAGAGCTATGACGATTTGTGGATTTTGGGAGCAACGTGTACACATTCCTGCTAAGAATACGAGAACTGAAAATAAATTCGGCATAGCCAAGCATGAGAGGCACACCGCGCTTAAAGAAGTCCAGGCAATATTACCCACAGGACGCTGATGTATATGTTGAAAAAAAAAGAGGGAGGGGGGTTAGCACCTATGGATGTGTCCAGAGTGCTGCGAAGATAACCCAACTTATAACTCAGAATTGAATTAAAGAACCACTCTTATGACAGAGGGGCATCAGATATATGATGCTATATTAATATTTTTTAGACCAATCGGCACTCAGTTGGTGGCATGGTCAACATGACACGGCCGCTTTTATTTCGCAGGACATTGATTGGCACCTTTCCGTCTTTCCAGACTATAGTGTTATATTGCGTTAATGTTTGGAACAGAAGTGGCATAACCCTGCAGACAAAGCTCAAAGTATACAGAGCAGTTGTATTAACTACACTGCCGTACACATGCGAAACATGGACTGTATACCAGCGCCAGGCTAGAAAGTTAAACCACTCTCACACAGTCTGCCTTAGAAAACTAATGCATATCAGATGGCAAGACAAAGTACCTGATAACGTAGTCCTTGAGAAAGCAGCCATGCCCAGCATCCACACACACTCTACTGATGCAGTATCAAATTCGCTGGGCTGGTCATGTGGCACGCATGCCAGATCACAGGCTACAAAAAAACAAAAAAAAAAAACTTTTCTACGGTGAGCTGCAAAATGGGAAACGTTCAAAATGCATGCAAAAGAAACGCTTTGAAAATACCTCGAAGTCTTCACACAAAGCATTTTGGGATAAATGACAAATTGGGAGGTTGCCTCTCAAGACCGAAATGCATGGCGTGCAGCTCTACACAAGGGCGCGGCTACATGTGAAGCAAAAAGAACAACAAGACTTATTAAGAAAAGGATGGATAGAAAGGCGACTGCAGGAGATCTCCTCCCTGGCACAACGCTCATTCCCTGTCCTCACTGTCCAAGAACTTTTCGGGCCCGCATCGGCCTTATCAGTCATCTTCGTACTCATAATTGATGGACACATGTTATATTGTGATATGAGGAGGCATCGGATTCACAGCCAATGACATCCTCTCCATAGCACAAAGCCTGGGCAGTACTGTACAGACCATATGTGCCCATGCATCATGATCTCTCCTTCGACCTGCATTGTTTACTCCAAAGGAAAGGTAAAACCAGTACGTTTAAGCTAGAGCTCAATTCACGTTTAAGACAAAGCAGGCTGCAGAAGCTGCCAGATCAGAAGAGCAGCTCTATCTGCCCGTCTGTCGGAGCTTCCCTCCTAGACCAGCTGCCAGCCAAGACTAAGGGCCTGGTCTGCCCTGCCATAAAAAAAAGTTTTCTGTTTGCATTTCATCTGCCTAAGATAAGGCTAGTATTAGTATCCTATCCTTCAATGCGCTCCTCCGCCCGAAGCCGTTGGCACAATATGGGATTTTAAGTTTGGTATATGTCGCCCAAACATTCGACTGGTACCGGCTACTGTTATGCAGTAGTTCAGTCATATCTGTCCAAAACATGACTCGCAGGACATTACCCCATACGATAAAATTATGCATTTTTAGATCATCTGGTTATCGCTTTTCGGCCTTTTGGCTAAGATCAAAGTGTAGATCATCTGGCTATTTTCACAATTGTACCGTTGAATAATAACCACCATTGATTTCATTCCCAGTTGTCAGTCTATTTACAAACACTGCAAGACGATACCATGGCAGACGAAGTCATTTTTGAGTTTCTTCACATGGAAATGGTAGCACACACTCACCGAGAAGCATCCAAGGAAGAGAAAGTATGTTTCCGGCGTCTGTACATAACCGTGATATCTATCTTATCTACACACCACTGTAAAAATAAATGGGTGTACTGTATGTAACTAAACTGACGGCGACCTTAAGGGACGCAATCACAATCGATTGCAAGTTACTACTACTTTCGATGAGGATGTTATGGAACGTAATCCATTGTTTTTTTAAGTTTACATAATACTTTTCTGTAATATTTAATATTGTTTAAGATTAGGTTTTGGGGTTAGGGTTAGCTCTAACGGCTCTCCTTCTATCCCCCCCCCCCCATATTTTGGCGGCCAAACAAATACCCTAACATCATGGTCTCAGACCTATGCAGAGTTCCTGCTACGCGCGGCATGGTGGATACTGTCGGCGGTGAGTTTAACCGCGTTTTGCACATGCCAAAAAGTGTGAGGACAACAACGACGCTAATCTGCGTCGGAGCGTGTGGTCTCCCTGTCATGTCGCTATTATCGTCTGTAATGTTGCGTGTCTTGAAATTGTCAATGGTCGCTATTATCGTCTGCTAGTATTGTCTGCAGAAATGCTCAGAATTGTCAGCGGTCGCAATTATCGTCTGCTACTATCATCTGCAGTGTTCCGTCTCTTGAAATTGTCAAGTAATCCTAGTTTTGTCGGGATGTGTTTGTTGGAAGAAGTCAGCATTTTACACATGACTGAGGCCCTGTTAGGGTATTTGTTTGGCCGCCATAATATGAGGGGGAAGATTAAAGGAGAGCCCTAACTCTAACCCTAATTCAAACCTTAACCAAAATCTCAAACAATATTAAATATTAGAGAACATTATTATGTAAATGTAAACAATCATTGCAGCATCCGGCTATCCTCCGAATAATGGTCCTATATTATCGAGGCGGAAAATATACCCTAACAGGACCTCAGTCACTTGTCAATTGTGCACTTCCGGGGACTATAACGCTACCGCCGAATCGCGAATCGTCTATAATGAATAACCTTGGTGATTCTTCTTAAATTCAGTTGGAATAATTGAAATGCTTTTCCTTCTTAGGATCAGTGTATTTCAAAACTTGAGGCACTGGGCTTTCGTGTTGGACAGAGTCTTATTGAAAGGTAATGGAGAAAGTCTTTAGGTTTTAAGCATTTAACAGTTAATTCTATATCATAAACAGATCAACTAGTTGTTAGCATATTTGATTTAGGTTTATAGGGACCTTTCATCTTCTTCCTCTTCTTAGCGCTCATTGGCTGTTAACCCTGGCAGAAAGTTTCTGTTCCTTTTAAAAAAATAAATTTAAAAACCACGTGTACAGAACTTTCAGCTTGTTTGTTTATTTCTGAACTTTAGTCTCATTCCAGGTTTTGAGTTTTGTATGCACACCTTTTTTTTTTAAAAAACAGATCTGTCTTATTTGTGTGCAGACTGTTAGTTTCTTGCCTCTTAGACAGAAGTATTTCAACTTTGAAGGAAACTTTGATCCTGTCTATGTTGGCACTCGTCTATCGGTGTAAATTATAGAAGTGATAACAGACAAGAAGAAGGTTTGTTGGCCAGGTCACCCTGGGGGGGGGGGGGGGGGGGGGGTGCTGATTCTATGGTGAACATGGAGAGGTGTCGACATGTTTGACCCATTCGATGTATATGTGCTTTGAGTTTACAAAGTCCTGTTTTGAGTCTGAAAATTTTGGTTCAAGGATTTCTGCCAAGCCTGTTTATATTGCCATACTTTGATCTGTAAAGCCTCATGCGCTGAAAGTATGGGTTCAGTTTTAGACTATAATTGATTCATAAGTGAAAATGTTTTAGAAGTCCCTGGGGTTGTTGCCAGAGCCACAGAAGTTTGTGCTATGTGTGATGTTGTCTGAACTTGGCCAGTTGCTTTGTGGAATAAAACTAGAAGTAGTGAAGTCTATTGTCTTTAAAGGCCCCTTTACATCTCAAAATAGATTACAGATGTTATTTAGGAAATATTCTTCTTCTTCTTCGAGTTCACCGGCTGTAATGTCGGCCGGAAAGTTTTAGTTGTTTATCCCCCTCTGGACTTTAGGCTTGTTACAGAACCTGAGTGTTACGTGCACATTAATTTTACATATCTGACTTATTCGTATGCAGACTGTTGGTTCCTTGCCTGTCAGACAGATGCACTCTGACTTCAAAGGAAACCCCCAATTAGTCGACTCTTTACGACATGCTAGTTGGGGAAGCAGTGAGTCTGTTCTTGTTTCTCTCTCTCTCCCCCCCCCCCCCACCCGCCACAATGGGGCCAGGGAACCCACACAGGGATTAGGAAATATAATATGCTCCGCTGTAAATAGTAAAGGGCCTTTTATTATGACAGTGGCCCATCTGGTGCATGATGCTTGATTCATATTTGTATAGTCCAAACAGCACTCGATGGGTGATGTGGTCGACATCACATTGACCACCTTGACTTCCGATGATTTTACCTTGTACCCATTTTGGGCTGGTAGCCAAAGTCATTTGGGGGGGGGGGGGGTGGGGGGGGGGGGGGGGAGGAGGGTTTAAACATCGTCTTCTTCTTAGTGTTCACTACAGTGAACTACAGCAAAAATGTCTGTGACTTTAGTCTTATTCCAGCACTTGAGTGTATGTGTGTGTGTGCAGATCAGGCTTACTTGTGTGCAGACTGTTGGTTTATCACCTTTCATGCAGATGCACTCTGACTACGAAGGCAACACCCCAGATTAGGTTCTGTTGGTATTAAGAGATTAATGCAATGTACTCATGCTGAATATAATGTTATACTAATGTATTTTTCCAAAATTGTTACAGGTTTACAAAAGATTGCTCTCGCTTTAAAGATGAATTAGACACAATGAAATTCTTGTGTAAAGAGTTCTGGAATGTTGTATACAAAAAACAGATTGATAACCTAAGAACCAACCATCAGGTACAGAAGTTTTCTCTCTTTACTTTCTGATTTTGTGGATCTCTTGTTTGTCAAGCCTTCTAGTCACATTAGCAGGGCCTATGAGGGAATAAAAGAGTAGGAACACTATAATCTATAAAGCCCATCATAAGAGGCATCTAACAAAGTTTGTGTAAGACTGGATACCTCATCCCATATAATTCTCTAGCAGTAAAATCCAACTTATCACCTCCTAACAAGCATATCATGAAATGTGACAGGGGTGTTTTCTTCACAGTCAGAGTGCATCTACCTGAGAGGTGAGGAACCAACAGTCTGCATACAAATAAACGCCGATTTTTAAAATGGATATGCATGCAAAAATCAAGTTCTGGATCAAGACCAAAGTCCAGACGTCAGCGACCAACCAGAACTTTCCACCAGAGTTAACAGCAGATGACTTGGTGTGAGTTGGTTGAGGTCCACCATTTTGAGTTGAAATGCAGAACACAAAAAGATGTAGATCTGCGAACTGCTTGCGCAACTTTGATTTTCTCGCCTTTTATTAAGACCAACCTAGTTTATACTAAAGTTTTTTTTAAAGTCCCTTTTTCACGCCTCTAGGCATATAGGGCTAGACCTATATTTTTATAGACCAATTGGCACAAGAAGGGTGATGTGGTCAGCATCACGCCAGCCCCCTTTACTTACCTAGATTACACCCGGTACCCTCTTAAGGCTGGGTCAACCTGGGAGTTGAGGTCATTTTTGAAAAAAGTCCGGGGCTTTGCCAAGGAGCAAATCCACGACCTTCCGATCCGCATGCCAGCAGGTATATATTAGCAAGAATAAATTCACCGAACAAAAAACAACGTCTAGGAAGCTCATTGAAGTTGGAAGAAAAAACATGCATAGAAACAATCAGATGACCAAAATCTTTATCAGCAAACACCACAAGAAGAAGAAGAAGACACCAAAGCCTCATTGCAAAGGGTCAGATATAATTTATACTAGTGCCATATGTACAAGAAATTAAAGATTGGGGACTCAGAACTTGACCTGTATGGACAGGCACCGCAGAATAGCAAACACTTGCTGCAGACGTCCTCTCTTTATGCCAGTTAGCATTTTGGTTGAAACCAAGCTGGATCATAGGAGGACACTCAACACACCACAGCTTTGATAGATACCTGTGGCCTTTTCGTCTGAAATCCTCTGTCAGGGAGAATGAAAAGAAGAAGATATATACTCGTAGCACTTCTATGTGCTGTAGTGAAAGGTGTAGTATGGGTTTACTGTTTCCTCTTTCTTCCCTTTTACCTAGGGCGTGTATGTATTACAGGACAACAAATTCAAGTTTCTCGTGCAGATGTCAACGGGTAAACAATACATGGAATCTGCACCTAAGGTCAGTCTACTACTGGTTCATTAAGGGGATAGCTATGTTTATAATGTTTCTTTCTATAACATTTCCTCTTCTTCTTCATCCTCCTCTTCCTCTTCTTCTTCATCTGCCTTTTATTCCCTAATGGAGCACAGCCCACGATCAAATTAGGCCATGTTGCCTTCCTAGCCTTTGTCATTGCATGAAACTCGCCCCATGTTTTGATTTTTTTAACTTGAATATTTGTAGTATATTAGTAGTATTTTTACTATTTCTCCATGTTTCTGCTGCATACAACAGTATTGATTTGTAAGTAAAGTAGTAAAGGACCATTTTCCACACCTTCAGATGTGTTTGGCATATAGGGCTAGACCTATATTTTATAAACCAATCGGCACTTAGTGGGTGATTTGGTCAGCATCAAGCTGGCTGCTTTTCCTTTTTCAGGACTGCATCTGGTACCCACTCAAGGCTGGATGGACCTGGGAGCAAAGGTAATTTTCGAAGAAAGTCCAGCTCCATCAGGACCCGAACCTACGACCTTCTGATCCGCTGACAAGCATCTAGCCACTACACCGTGGCGACTCCTGTACTGTTTTGGTGTTACTATAATACTACCATTAACAAATTTTATAAAATAGACATCTAATGAAATATATTTCTTCTTCGTGTTCACCAGCTGTAAACTCTGGCGGAAAGTTCTGGTCGTTCGTCCACTTCTGGACTGTAGTCGTTCCAGAACCTGAGTGTTGCGTGTGCATCCGTTTGTCAGATCTGAATAATTTGTATGCAGACTGTTGGTTCCTTGCCTCTCAGGCAGATGCACTCCGACTTCGAAGGAAGCTTCCAATAATTCGACTCTTACGACATGCTTTTGGGTTGGCAGTGGATCTATTCTTGTTTACCCTATAATAGGGCCCCGGATCCCACACAGGAATAATGCAATATATAAGATGTTGCATCTTCACTATGAACATTGGCTACAGTGGTTGTATGCTAACACTGGCTATCTTTGAAAATATTAGAAGATGATAGTGTAACTCCCACTATGATTATAAAGCTACAAAAATGGCCATTTTCTTAACTGCACACTGCAGAAATTGAAGTCTGATTTTTTTTAGAATTGTGAAGTTCGTTCACTAACTTCTAAGCCATGGCAACACATTAGAAGCTAGAAAAAGAATTTTTACATGTTATGTTGATTAGTAGTCCTGGAAAGTAAAGGCAGCTGGCTGGGTGTTGACCAAATCACTTACCAAGTGTTGATTGGTCTATAAGACTAGCCCTATATGCCCAAAACATTTGAAGAGGTGGAAAAGGGTCCTTTACTTTACTTTACTACTTTTACATTGAACAAGAGGCTGTATGTCCTGGACAGTAAGCAAACAAACAACAAAAAAGATCTGATGGCCTCGGGCTGAAATTCCTTGGACAACCAAAATGGCTAATCTAAATGTTTTGAATGTTGAGCTTTCAGTTAAGAACTGACTTCACTCAGGATAATGTATTGTATTCAGACTAAGGTCAGGGCACAACAGAGTTTGCCAACATATTTTCAAACTTTTTTCGGTGTAGGAAACAAATAGACGTGTCCCTGCAGCATGGCACCCAAAAATGTTGAGCATGAGCTCCAGAACTAAGTCAACTGTATGCTGACAACAGAGATGCAATCTTGCCTGTTCTAACACAGTGAAGACAAAACTGTATGGTACATGAGAAAATATGGACTACATGATAGCTTTCATAAAGGCTATTGACCTCATGATATAAGTTTTCTGACAAAAGTATTGAAGAGGAAGAAGAAGGACATTCCAATAAGTGCTGCATCCTCATCTTCAGCAGCCAGCGAAGAGTTAAAATTTTGATGGTAATAGTAGCATCCAAAGTTTTTGATAGAGGATAAGGCACAAAGACAAGTTGTGTCACAAATACAACAAAAAGGCAGTCATCATGCTTGGCACATTATGAGGAGAAAATAATTGATCATTTTGTGACAGCCAAAAAGATTTATGGAAAGGGAGATGGAGAAAAGCGAGTAGCAGTAGATTGTTGGCTAGACACTTGAGTGCCAGCCTGAAGATCTTGGGTTTGAATCGACATTCCCCCCCCTTCTACCCCCCCCCCCCCGGTGGGTTTTGGGGCCCCATTTGGGGAGGGGAGAAATAGACCCACTGTCCCCTAACAAACATGTCATAAAGAGTGAATAATTAGAGTGTTTCCTTCTCAGTCGGAGTGCATCTGCCTGAGAGGCTAGGAACCAGCAGTCTGCATACAAATGATCCATGCCTGTAAAATGAATGTACGTGCAAAACTCAAGTTCTGGAACAAGACAAAGTCTAGAAAGTGGATGAACAACCTTAACTTTCCATCAGAGTTTACAGTTATTGAATGCCAAGAAGAAGACGAAGAGTGTACATCAGGGCAGATGTTTATAGTGAGTCTAGGACTACCAGGTTGATCCAGCCTTAAAATGGGTACCAGGAAATGTACTGGGAAGTAAATTCGGCTGGTGTTAATATGGAGGGGATTATATCGATCCAGAGGTCGCATGTGGTGAGAGTGACATGGAAATTATGCCCGGGCTATTCAGGAGTGATGGGAATGAGCAGGCAGATAGGCTGGCTGGAATTACCCTATTTGTTGGTGAACTGCAACTGCACAAGGCAGAGGAGATCTCAAACCTCTGACCTTGGACATTATCTCCAGGTCGTGCAGATGTGGACAGGGTAACAGGTGAAATGGAAGATACTGAAAATTCATGCCTGGAGAGAATGATACAGCAAGGAGTGACTGTGGGCTCTGGGTGCCACTCAAGACTCAGAGAGAAGGCAAGACGAGTAGTCAACCAGATGACAGTAGGTAGCATCAGTATGGAAACTCTTTGCTGTATGTTGGGGAGAGAAATGGAGCTAATATGGGCTTGTTCTGAATGTTATGATGTCAAATCGTTACCCAGACGAACCCATGATGAACCCATCAAATGCCAGCTGGTCGATAAAATGAGCGTAGCATCATTGGCTCAATGTGCCAAAGGCATGAAAAGGGTTTTTTACTTTTGGTTCCCTTACTAGTTTTATTAGTCTGTCTTGTTTATGAATCTGTGTTATGCTTTTTTGCTGATCAGTATCTGGCATTCCCCTGTGGTATGATCAGAGGAGCTCTTTCCAACCTTGGTGTGAACTGTATTGTCACAGCTGAAGTCAGTGCAATGCCAGCTTGTAAGTGATTTTTTTTTTTTTTTTTTTTTTTTTTTTTTTCAAAGTATTTTTTTAAAAAGTGTTCTGTTTCTGTTGTAGTATATTTTTTAAAGTCAGTTTTTGTTTTGTATAAATATGAATTGAGGGTGGGGGGGGGGGGGGGATATATATTGTATGCTAGAAACACAGATATTGTTAAAAGGAATGAAAAGCAGAGAGCATTGAGTATAATATTTTATGGTAAGCTGAGATGAAATGACGTTTCCTTTCTCACTTCCTTTTCCTTCCATTCCCGACTTGGAACCAAGTCAGGTGGTTATTGGAAGTTAAAGCAGTGTCATGTCTTTTTGACCATCTGACCCTTTCAGCTTATTGTGTTTTTGTTTTGTTTTGTTGGGGGGGGGGGGGGGGGGGTGAATATCAAAAGGACGCTAACCACCCAGAATCTCTAAAGCGATACTTGCCACTCTGCATGAATCATGCCTGTCTCCACCTCTGCTCAACATGCTCTGTGAGTCAGTTGATTTTATGTTTGTGTGTGAAGTGTTAGTAGACTGAAATTGTGAATCAGAACAATTCATGAACAGGCAGAAACATTAAGGAGGCACTCCTTCAAGAAATGAGTGAAAACTGTAAACTGATCTAGAAAATAAGATGTGGACATTTTGGATTTTCCTGGGCATGTTATGAAAACTAAAAGAAAAGGGGGGAAAAAAAGCTAGAAAACTTTTTGTCGACTGGCAAATTTTATAGAAAAAGAGCAATGGGAAGACAAACAGATAACTTGGCCATGTGTAGTAATCGAGATAAGAACATAGATCTGATTCAAGACTGGTGATTTTTGTGAGATGGTAAACTAAGTGTTAAGTGTTGAACTAAGAACAGACATCCCAGCACTTGGGACATTCCCGTAAATACTTTGTTCAGCAGCCAGCAAACATTTCCAGTTCTGATGGTACCTTCAGCAATTTGTCCCTCTTGCCTTTCCTCTGAGCGTCAGTTGTCGACCAGATCCCTGGATGACTGCTAGCTGTACCATTCTGTCGAGGTCATTATGATCTCTTCAAGCCTCTGCATTGTTCACATGCTCCTAAAGGGCTTTGACCACAACTAAGTTGTCATGCATAAATTCACCACACTTTGTTGAATTCTGTCAGGTAGGCAGTCTGCCTGTTCATTGTCATCTTCATCAAATATTGAACAATGGTCACCCTCGCATATTGACATGGCACATAATGAGTATTGGATTGTTAGCATCCAGTCTCCTTGTCCAGCAACACATCTGAAATGAGATCATGAAAGTTCCCCGTGTGGGTTCCGGGACCCCATTGTGGGGGAAACAAAAACAGATCCAATGCCTCCCCAACAAGCATGTCATAGGAGTCGACTAACTGGAGATTTCTTCAAAGTCAGAGTGCATCTGCCTGAGTGGCAAGAAACAACAAACTGCACACAAATAAGGCAGTAGAATGGAATGGAGACCCACGCAAAACTCAGGCCCTGGCACAAAGCCAAAAGTCCAGATGGATGAACAACCAGGACTTTCCACTGGAGCTTACAGCCGGTGAACAAAGAAGAAGCAGAAGATCATAAAAATAATCTGCTTAGAACTTCCCCATGTGGGTCACAAGGCCCCATTTTGGGGGAAACGGAATATACCCACTGCCTCCTCAACAAGCATGCCCTAAAAGTCAACTATTTCGGTGTGTTTCTGAGTGTCCTGACTGAGAAGTGAGAAGCCACCAATCTGGATATAAGTAAGCCAGCTCTGTAAAGTGGATGTGCATGCAAGACTCAGATCCTGGAATAGAAGTGGATGAACAACCAAAACTTTCAACCAGAGCCTGTGAATGCTAAATGAACAGCCACAACTTTTTAACGGAGGTTACAAGTGGTGAATGCTAAGAAGATGAAGATCTGCTTGGAACTAATTGTATATTTGTGTTACTGTTATTTGAAATAATTGTATTTTACATTATGTTCTTCTTTAGGTAAATTTCAGATACAAATTCAGAGGACATGAGCATTTGAGATGTAGCCATCAGATGTTGAAGTCATCTTTTAAACATTGGTGTCATTATGAATGATTAAAGTAGTGCATATTTGATGCATTCAGCAAGACAATTCAAGTATCTTAATTGGTCTAAGAAATTGACACCTAATATATTGTATGTTATGTGTTGTTAGTAAGTTATGAGTTAAGATATGAGTATAATGATTGCTGTCACATGATTAGAATCCTGTGTTCTGCTTGTTTCTCTTTAAATGTAAGGCATTAATTGTTTGTTACTGTAAAATGAAATGACTTTAGGGAAATATAACTTTCAGAGGCAGAAATCATAAGCTCTTAGCAGTACTGTAAAGGTTTCTTATCTTGTTTTTTTCCCCCTCATTACATCAGTAATTTAACATAGGATTTTACTTCTTTTTTTTTTTTTTACTTTTCTTTTCTGACTTAATTAGCATAGTATCATTTGACCACTGTAACAGTGATATTGTGCTCTTTTACATTAACCAGAAAAAAATACAATTTGCAATGCATACAAGTTTTAGAAAAGTATCTGTGGAGCTGACAAAAAGGAGTTTAAAAAAAACAAACAGCATAATACTTAATTAATAGCAGAACTAGACTTCTGGTCAATTGCTGGATAGGAAGGCTCACTCTTGTTAGTCGTAGTAAGTTTTTATTTCTGACACAGTTAGCGGTTTCATTTTCTCCTTACATAGACTGAAAGGATATAGTTCTCTCGCCCACTTACTAAACTGAGTGTATGGCGCGACAGTGTCAGCTCTGCAGATTTCATTTAGAATGCTTTTCAAACCAGTTGAATATGTTACATTAATTAAAAAAATCAGTCTTGTCAGCTATTGATTTATTTAGAATTTTACATTCCTGTAGTAAAATAAATGCCTTTTTTACTGTGAACCTGCTAAGCATTTGTTGTTTTTCTTTGTGCGTAAAATAATGAATTACTTCAATTTTTTTACAGTAAAACGGTTACTGTAGTTGGGTAGTCAGCATCCTTTGGATATTTTCTCCGTCATACCAGTGTGTTGGTAAATGAGCAGGCAGATAGACTGGCTGGTTCTGCACCACTTGTTGGTGAACGGATGTTGTAAGGATACTTAAAGAGAGAGTAAACAGTGCGGAGACACAAATAGGTCATCACAGTCTGAGGAGGATGTTGCTGCAAGGAGTGACCACGGGATCTAGCTGACACTCACCACTCAAGGGAAAGGCAAGACAAAGTATATACAGTCAGACTGGAACTCTGCACTTGCTGCTGAAGATTGGGATGGAGCACTTAAGAGAATGTTCTGAGTGCTTTGACATAGATATTTGATTTGACATTCAGCATTCTACAATGAAACAGCTTCTTCTTCTGAATGTGCCCTTAAAGGGGCAAGTAGGACATTACATTATGGTTTTCAGCTTGGCAGTAATATCTGCGCCTTTCAGCTTAACACATCTGATTTCAGCAAATCTTACATTTTTTTGCTTGTTAGGGGGCAGCCACTCTGGTCTTTTGTTCTCCCCCCCCCCCCCCCCTTTTCCCTGCAGAGGGAGCCCTGGAACCCACACAGGGATGTGACACAGCAGTAATCTAAGCTGTTTCAACTTCTCTGGTATTCCACTGTGGTTTGCTGATTGTTCAGTTTGTTTCGTCACTAGCTCCAGCCAGGGATTTTTATTTTCTGGCGAGGGTATTCACTGATATTTTTTTTCAAAGCTGCTGGTGCAGTGTGCCAGGGATAATTATTATATATTATTTTTATTATATATAATTATGTAAGGCAATATTATTTTCAATGCTGCTATATCGATGTCTGTGGCTTAGGCATTACAAATGCTCTTCATAATGTCAAGGTCCTGGGTTTGATACTAGCTGCTGGCGATTTGGAAGCAGAACATCTTGCGTTGGTTTCGACAGTGGTACTGAGAGCTGACCGTTCAGGAGCAATGGCAAACTACTAAACGTTTAAAAACTATTGCCTAGAAAAACCACAACAGCTAAAAAAATGTTGGGGTTGGTTCTGCAACGTCCTGTAAAGGATACACAGCTAACTTATGTGAGTACTGGCGCCCTTTTTTTTGTTTGTTTAAACAGAAGAAAAACCTGACTCCAACTCTGTTGCTCTGTGCCTTGTCTTCTCTTCATTGAGTACAGGAGGGTGATCATCAGTCGTATTGAGGGTAGACTTCTTAGAGGGGGATGTTAGGGGTGGGGGGGGGGGGTGTGGGGCTGTGACTAACTCCACCTGGCGGGACTCTATGAGGTTAGCACCATTCTGGGATACAGAGATGTTGAACCACACATGTTGGGGGAATCAGGACCAGGGCTCATACTGGCTAAGATCTATCCGCACCACTCTGCAGTCGTGCTGGAAACAGGGTCCCAGATCAACATTTCCTTCGATGTCAGAGAGCATCTGGAAGTCAAGGAACCAACAGTCTGCACACAAATAAGCCAGATCTGTCAGCTATTGTGTACACAAAACTGATTTTCTGGAACATGATCATAGTCCAGAAGTGGACTTCTGTTGCGGACTTCCTTATCCAGCTTTCCAGTCTGTACCAGTGTTCTGACACTCCATGCACCAATGTTAATGATGTCATTTACTTTCTCTAGAGTAGCTGGATGAGGGTCGGATATCACGTGTAGAAAATGCTCTCTACCGGACATGGTGCTTCCGTAAGAACCCCTATTAACGTCGTTATCTGAATTTAATTGTTTTAAAGGCTTGATTTACTAGGGAAAATACAGCGGTGGTTTCCCCAGCGTGCTCTGTATTAGTATAGGATTTTCCACCGCAGTTTCCACCGGAGCTGGTGAATGTAAAGAAGATGAAGAGCATCACTCTACTTTAAAATAAAATTAAAATTTTAAACATCGTAAAGTTGCTTGCATCGCACCTTTTCATCAGGTCTGTGGATCTGCACCTCTGATTTTTCCAAGGCACAATACAGTCAGATCCAAAACAAAAATCGGACAAATGAGGAAGATGATCTAGTATCACAGTTTTAATTCGCAAATGCACTAACTAGTACTTCACAATCATCACCATCAAGAGCCTTGCCAAGCGGCATATGTGATCAGTCTCCACAGCAACTGAGGCTTCAGTAGAATGCATCAACGCCTGTGCAAAAATGTTCACATGTCAAGAATCTTAAAGGGCACTATATTTTCTTTATAATAATAATAATGTCCTTGCTGTCTTCACAATGAAGGCTGGCTATAATGAACCACTGTCATCTTAATATTACCTGGTGAGGGCCACCTTCCCTTTTTTCCAATCTCTTCCACAGTGCGACTCTCAAACTATTGTCCGGAAACAATAAAAGTGATTTTTTTTTCAAACCATCCACTGTGGGAAACGAGCCCTAGTACTCAAGGAGCATGAAACTGTTAACCGCATTCACTAACCTCAGAGCTATGGAGCCATGTTTTGTATATCTTCTTTTAATTATTGATCTTTGCCATCACAGCACCTATTAGTTGTCAAGAGAGAGAGACTAACTCCTTGGGCATTATGTTGAGTTCTCTTGATAATGTAAAACATAAGTAGAATACAGGACCCTTATATTACGGCTGTGGGGGCATCTTACATAAGATCCTTGACACTTATTTTAATAAACCAATTGGCACTGATATGGCCAGCATCAGATCAGTCGCCTTTACTTCCAAGGACATGACTTGGTGCCAGTGCTGGATTTGGGCACAAGCTACCCCGGAAAGTAAAGGTGGCCGGGATAATGCTAACCACTTCACCCATCTTGTGCTGATTGATTTATAAAATATAAGTCTAGCCCTGTGTACCCTAAAGGTCTGAAAAAGAGTTCTTTAATTTTTACTTTACTAAATAAGCTACAGCTTAGGGCCTCACAATTGCAGGAGCCTCAAAACATTCCTATATTGTTACCCAATATATCTTTTGATCATATAGTCAATGTAAATAATGCGGACCCAATGCATTGCACAATTTATTGCCAGGCTCATTAGACTTGTGGATATTGCAAGCTCATGCATCAGTAACAAAAGGAAGTAAAAATCTCACGTCATTTACTAACACAACTTTCATGGGCGAATAAACGCAAAATATAGTAGGCTTGTGTTGTAATTTTTAAAAAATTTAATTGTATGGCACAAAGCGACTCATAAATATCGCTGCAAGTGAATGAATGGAAATGGGTGTGAACAATCAACACAGCATCGAAAATTATTGTCATAGTGGGGGGAAAAGTATCATAATTTACACGGTCCAGGACATGAGATTCTCAGAATATCTTAGACAAAGAAGAGGAGAAATACTGACATCTTGACAGATCTGAACATCAAAGAAGATTGGCTAATAAACAGCATCCCGGAAGCTGAAATATTTTGGTCACATCAAGCGGCACGACGGATTGGAAAAAATAATAGCAGAAGGCACGGTACCAGGAAGGAGGGACGGGGGCCGACCAACACGAAGATGGGCACAGGATATAAGTGAGTCCTTGAGTATGAAAGTACATGAGGCAGGAGAACTGGCGAGAGACCGAGTTTCTTTCAGGCAGACCGTGATGAGAGCGACGTTCTGCAAAGGACCTGATACATGATAATGATATGAGATTACCTGAAGCAGGAAGAGAGATTCCACTATCTAGTGTCAGTGATAGGAACAGACGTAAACACTAATGCAAAGATAACATGCAGAATAAAACAGTTCGCAATCCATCATCGCCCAGGCACTTACAGGACAACACCGAGAGAAGCGCATGGCAGTGTAGTTATCATAATGGCTCGCATATCAAAGGACCCCAGCTCAAATCTTCAGTAATAGGTCAACAGATTTTACAAATCTATTATGTGTATTTTAAAATCGTACACCTGCGCAAGGACCACTGGAGAAGTCGATGTTTAAATATGCATTCATATGTGCAATTCCCCGTGCGGGTTCCAGGACCCCATTGTGGGGGGGGGGGGGCTGAATATACCCGCAACTTTCTCAACAAGCATGTCGTAAGAGTCGACTAATTAGAAA